TAATAATACCTGAGTATAAAGTTCTTTATAAATACAAATGAATTTATCCTTTTCATGCTCAATTTTTTGTACACAATGAGTTTCATTAGCAGAAATTGCTGTCTCAACTAGAATCTCTAATTTGAGTTGTGAGAGTAATTTTTATAATTGTTAATATCTAATTAGTACAAATATAATGATAACAAAAACATCAAACTGCTTATACCATTAACATTATATTAAAAAATGACATACAAAATGTAGATTCATAACTGTCCATATAAGAGGCGGTTCTCAAAACAATAATTAGTACCAATTACAACACGAAATTCCCTCTACAATCAAATAGGATGACTGGTACAAGTTGAGTGGCCGCACGCGGAGAGAAATTATGGTGGTCTTCTATCTTGCTCGCTCGTAATAGCGTGAGTATAAATCCGTCCTTTACTTTATCTTCTTACAAAGTTAGAGACTTCTATCATTGACATCAAAACTATTATTAACGTTGTGAGATAAAAGATCATTAATTCTTTATAGATAAAGATATTTGGTTGAATGGTAAAATTAAATCCGTCATGGTCACACTATTATCATGTGTATATTTTAGTGTTCATTGCCCCAAATCTTAAAGATCATAAAATATCTTAGCATATGTATTCTTAAAAGATAAAATATTTGGACATTTGGTATTAAGTACATAATACCCAAATTTGTCGCCGAAATCTGAATTTGTATTCTTCACTGTAAAATATTTAAATTTAATAACAAAAGTCACCATTATAGGTAAATATAGTTTCCAATGTTCATAAATTCTTAAAGCAATCATTAGTTTCGGGGATCGAGATTCACCTCCCCACAAGACAAATAAACTACGGTGACTATGTTTATTTTTGTATGGAAGTTGAATTGCTTCTTCCCAGAATAGTGGGTAACGTCGGTAATCGTTTTGTAAATAAAGTTGAAAAAACAAATATTCAAAATGGAACTCACTTATGTCCCATTTATCAACCACAGGTATTTGAGGAAACATTTCAATTGGTTTGAAATTAAAATTGGATGCAAAAGATAACTTACAATTGGTATTGTGAATATGCACAACAACCAACGTGAGAGGTTCGTTTCCGCCAAACGGATAAGTAGGCAGCTATAACCTGTAATCGAAACCGGTTTAGTCAATGTGGACTTACGGACTGGGGAGAGGGCATGCGCGATATCAAAGCAGGTGTTCTACTATGAGCCCGTTGGCTCAATGAGAATTCCAGTATGCCTTAAATAGTTAAACTGAGATTTAACTCAAAGTCTACCTATAAGTTTCTTGTAGAAATGTGAATATCTTTTTAAAGACATTATTAGGTACTCTAAAGACAAAAATGTTGAGTATAGAAGGCACCCAAAAGTTAAGACAATGATTCTCACATCAGCATAGAGTATGGAGACATTTGAAGATGAGTTTGGGGTGGCGTGTTTATAACGCGTGTTTAATAATTTAGCAGCACCGGGCGGCGATCCCTTGTCGGCCTGTGTACTGAATAATGGATGCAACAATAATATAAGAAGCATCGAGACTGTTTCCATTTATTCAATACCAAATTGAAAAGATGTGAGTGCGTACATAAATAAGCATTTAATAAATGATGGGAACTTTATGAGACAAGATAAACAAGGCGTTACGGAGGACATTACAGATGTTGTAAACATGTCGTCGGATTGAGCGATTGTTGAATATAAATATTGATGTTAGTGATACTTCACTAATCCTCTTATCTCTACAATCAACTCTCATTTGTGGCGTTAGAATATCCTTCTCCGAATAAAAGGCTTTTATAAGAGGAACATGGGAACGCACACCTGTCGCTCTCTGCATTTTAGAATAGCGTCTGGCTTTGATATAAACGTATTCATCTATAAAGTACCTACAGACAACATATATATTTAATTCAAAATGAACTTTACTACTTATTTAAAAAGGACTTGTCTCTAGTACCTTATTAAGATACAAGAATTTCATCTTTAAGGTTATAAGGTTCTTCATTTTCTATAGTAGTTATTACCTGCATAGCATAGTGAGTGAAATTTAAATACAGTTTCTATTTAAATGTAAAGAGCAGTGAAGGAGTCCGCCATGTGGAATTTCTTCAAGATCCTCGAAATATGTAACTTTACACTGTTTACATTTTATCAAGAATTATAATATTTACCATCATTTCAAATTCATGTATAAGATTAATGAAAATATGTTTAAATAGGTAAATATTAACATTAGTGAAATTTTACGAATATTTAATATGAGAAGAACAAAAATTAAATATAAATACATAACAAATATTAATGTATTTATGTATATTGTTTAATTTTATCTTCTTGTTATTAAAAGATTATGGCTAATCTTATTGTATATAATTTACAAACGCTATATCGAATATTTGCATGAGGGTTGCAGCAGAATGCGTTTAATTCGTTAATAAATCAGGCTGTGGGGGTGGTACGGGTTCATTAGATGGATCGCCCCGGGCCTTCCGGGGTGTCGTGCCCACTCCATCCGCCGTCCTTCTGTTGCTTGATGCATTTAATTTGGTAAGAGCAGTGATAGGTGCACTGTATGGTCTATTGGTTAACGTGCATGTATTGTATTTTACACATTTGAATTAAAGTCATATTTCAATTTCAAGTTTTTAGTGTTACTTGTGTATTTTTGTTTCGTATTACTACTTTTACTTATAACTTTTAATGTCTTATACAAAAGTGCATGAATGTATATCTAAATTATAAGGTTTTTCGTTGTCATCATTATTCAATGCAAAGATGTAAAAACGGACCAAATTTTTTAATAATCCAATAGTATTGCATAAAGAAATCTAAAAGTAAGAAACCAAAACTAAACTAAACCTACTAACACAATATTCGGCATAAGTTAAATCTAATCTATTATTAAAATTTATTTATATCTAAATGAGAATCTTACCTGAAATAAGTAATTAATTGGCTCTCGTAACTCGAGCTTATCGCCAGCATAAATTAAAGTAAAATCGCGCAGGCGTCCTCCTCGTCCACGCACGCAGCGAAACTTTTAATTGCATTCAACTCTATCACCGTCGTCAACAACGGGTTATGAACCAATGAAATTTTGTATTCTTTTATCGACGTTAAAGAATAATTTAATTAAGTATTTTTTTAGCTCATTAAAATTTACAAGCTTTTCATTACTTTTATTAATTTTAAATGTGTAATAATATAAGGGTTCGAAAAGATTTAATAAAGATAATTTTACTTTCAAATTTTCCGTATTTAAAACAACATACGAAAAAAATCCTTAGGCCCTAAATAAAGCTATTCGGCTTACAATTTAACACACAAAGAAATATAAAACCTGGCTCCGGAAAAAATATTTGACATCCCAAAAACAGGGGGATGAATGAATTAATTAGAATTTTTAAATTAAAATTGTCACCGTGTATCCGTTGTCTGGCCAGCAGAAATACAATACAATAGAGGCCACGACCGGACGAGAGGACTCATTAATTTAGATGATTGTACAATTATCTAAATATAAGCAGAGAAGCGCCCACGCGGGGCAGGGGTACTCCAACCCGAAATGGGGGAGGGGTGCGGGCACTCGTTTTTAATTAAACCGGCGATGAAATGAAGTGGTCCGTATAATATTGCTTAGACATGTTTTAAATTAATTTCAACCCGTCTTATTACCGACAATTTTATATTATTAGTAGATGGAAAAAGTTTACTTTTTCTTAGTTTCATAATACAAGTAAATATTGTATTATACGTTATTCAATATACAACAGTATGTTCCTAAATAGATGTTCAAATATATTTCTAGCGTTTTGTACAATATAGGTAAATTTTCGGTACCTACTGTCTACGTACTTACTTTATACTGATTGTCAGTTCTTAATGAACACAACGGTATTTTAATGTTCTCCCAATACGATCTAATATGTCTTAATCTCTTTATAATTCAAATTGAATGCCATTGGCATAAATAAATGGCTTAAACAACGATTTGCCATCCCAACCCCACCATGACGGAAAGTCTGTACGCAAGGGTTGTACTCCGCTCCTCTCCTGTATTTGTTTTTCGTTAAAGCTTTAATTAAAAGTAGGTTTATTTTAAAGAAAATTGATGTTCAAAGTAATTAAATCTCTGATGGTTTAATTATCTCTTAGTAATTGAATTTCACCTCATAATAAAATAATTAGTACAGTATTTACAATATACTTATGTATGTATATATTAATTAACGAATTGGTAAGTAAACATAATACATTGTTGCTACAATTAATATTATGTTTTATTGCCAATTTTTTTTTTCTTTTTTATCTTCAATACGTATCTCAATTAGGCACCTTATTTATTACATATTATGATTAATGATAATAGTAATAATTGTTTTAATGATTTTTGCATCATGCACATGTGCAGTTTAAGTCATTTAATAATTTGTTATTCTAGTTTACTTATGTACTTGTTTCTTGCCTCAGATAACTACATAATTTAAAACCACGTGTACAGTTTTTGTTCTTAAAATTTGATGTCACATTAATTGCTTATTATAGGAATTTATTTTCAACTTCTTTGTTTAACAAGCATCTTGGTACTAGGTGTAAAATGGGCCTTATTGTCGGGTTACAAAGGCCTGGAAAGTTCAAAGTAAGCCTGCAGAAAAACGTTTCTTCAAGTCTTTGTTAAGATTTTATTGCACACTTTACGATTATTTTAAACAAAAACATTTTATGCCTCAACTAAAACTTTTTAAAATATACGTGGTGGTTATTCATAGTCGAAGTTTAGTGTCCCGGACGTCTGTCAAATTTCAAGTCACCAGCAATCTGAACTGACAGAGCCGTTATTTTTAACTATAATATCTATGATCATTACAGCATGATGATACCATATTTTGTAGGGGTGCTTGAGATCTGTTTACAAACATGCTGCATTGTGGATTGGCATTGGATGCCGTTGTACACAACATGCACAAACAAAACGAATCTTTCCGAATAGTTACCTAAAGGCTCTGCCCTTTGGGATTTGTCGTCGCGCGTCCAGGCTTGGTGCCTCGTTGGAACCGTCGGTCTCCGGACCGGCACGATGCACCAAACAAAAAACTTAACAATAACAAAAAAACACAATCAACGTATAAACTGAATGAACTACACCGCCGACTTCAGTCTCTTAACCTTTAAGTTCGACAGGATAAAAGACTGGGCACATAAAACTTCCTTGTGAAACTTTAAAACAAAACCTGAACAGAGAACTTCGAAAAAAGTAGTAATAATGCGGGGATCGGCGACACTTCCCCATTCGGCGTTTCGATCGCGACTGAGCCACGCGGTGGCGCGCGGGTTGTGCGGGCGGGTGGGGCAGGGGCGCCGGCCCCGCACCTCCGCCGTATTATTTGATTAATTCGCCTCCCCTTGTATACTCGGCGAGTCGTTACGACGACGACGTTAAGTTTTTAAATTTCAGTAAGAGGGCCGCAACCTTCACCTACTCCATAATACTTTAATTGAATTAATTAAGATCGACGGACGCCAACAAAGATTAGACGTTAATAAGCAAACGCTGAAGGATCCGTCCCGTTCTTGGTTAATTAAGGAGCGCCGGTGTGGCGGTTGCGGTATACTCGCAGAAAAAAATCCTGACTTGCAATAATGAATATTACCAAGAAACGTTAGTGCCGCTAATTGGAGTGCATTTGCATTCTGAAATAAAATAAACTTGCGAGTGAATTATTTTGACGAAGTCGGATGTCTACCTACAAACAACTGAATAAGGATGTAAAAGGGTTCGAATTTCAAATATGTGTCTACGGCTGGAATTATATCCTAATTGGTGTTATTTAATAAGGTAAATTTAGTGCACCCGCACGTATTTATGGATGTGATGTTGTGAGTAAACGTTAATATGCTTTTATAATGTGCCATCTATATTTATTGCCAATTACCTAACACTTATTTCAAATTAGATAATTATTTCAAAAGCCAACACAGAAATTATTGTGGTGAGAATGTGTTATGGGTTTCTCATGTTGTGGCACTTAATTTCGAAAATCATTTTATTGTTTAATGGGTTCTTTAAATGACAATTATTAGTTCAGATTCTATATTAATTAATAAAGTAGAATCTGAACTAATAATTGTCAAGCTAATTAAAATACTAATAAAAAGAAGATCTAGTGTACATAGTAAATATCGAATTACCAATTAAGTCGGCAAAGCAATAATTAGAAGATTTCTACAAAAACCGAATCGTCGCACGTCGGTTCATTTCTCAAAATTCCCACGAACACCAACAAGTAATGAACGACCACTATGAAACTTGAATATGCGCCTGTGATATTCATTTATAGCCATTTCAATTATGAGGCTTAGAGTGTATGTAATAAGGATCAAATACAGACAAACTAATATTAGGGTACATACAGGAAACTCGTTACATACTGAGAGTTGTGTTACAAGAAAAAGGTCGGGCTCAATTTCGGCTTAATTCAATAATTCGATGGATGAGCCATTATCGGACTAATTCAGCTTAACCCGATCGATCATGATGGTCGGGCGCAGGTGAATCGCTACGAGACTGCGCGCACGCACTCTTTTCCTGTATTATGAGACATAACAATTAATAAAAACTAGTTTAAATTTAAATGTGTATGCTCTTTGTAAAATAAGTAAGAGCGACTTATATGGAAGAAATTATTTTAGTTAAATAATTTTAGTATGTGATGTATTTATTAATTTTTTTATTTAAATAATCTCATTTTCTAGTGCATTAGAAGAAAATAAGAAATTAATATATATTAATAAAAATAGCGTTTTCTTTGATCGATTCAAGGTTTCTGGTCGTATAATATAGATCAATATGGTTCTTTACAGCATGTAATTTTAATTAATATTTTCGAAGATATTACAGATTTAAAATATATGGACATAGCGGTTGCGTCGGTACCAGCCGGGGGGGGGGGGCACTGTACCCGTGCGAAGCCGGGGCGGGTCTTTAGTATGATATAAATAAAAAAATAGAACTGCGTTACCTGCACTCAATAGAGTTGCAAATGGGTGTACTTCAGGGGTTCATTCTTGGTTCAGTTTCATTGTTAATTTATAATAATTTCCTTTTTAGTTACCATTGAGGATAGATGTGGCATAGTGTTATTTCTTCGTAATATTTATACTTTCAAGAACAAGTAAAAATTGTGTCAAAGTGATTACTTCCAAAAGTGTCAAATGTTCCTTTTTTAATTCAAACTTTTATTTAGTTTATTTCTATTACCGTATATAATATAATATTATTAGAACATTAAAAAATTTTTTAAAAAGAATCATTTCTTGCCATTTCTTCTCGGTTGAAATTGATTTGGTGGTCCCCCCGGGAAACCAGTGTACTGGGCTAACTAACTTACTTTTTCATTCTCACTTATCATCCCTCACTAGTGTCCCGCCAGCGTATACCGTTAGCGCAGGCTTTATATTGTCATCATGGTTACCATTATATTGTCATCCATTAAAAACCCCAATAGCTGAACGTCTTATGTTTGTATGGGCGGCAAAATTTTTTTGTCGTTTTAATAATATCTTTATAACAATAGTTCAATTTGTTAGAAACATAATCTTAGCTTAATGTTGTACACCTAACAATAAAAAAAGAAACAATTTGACAAATTTTGTCACCACTGCGACACCCCATTTGAGATATTTTTTTTTTGTGAAAGTGTTCAGTTTTGCTAAAAGTAGAATACTCCCTTAGGATACTAACAATTTTGATTTCACCCTGTATGTGGTTTATGATTCTTTGAATAATTATGTCTATTATAAATTATTTATGAATGCCTATTCTAACCTTAATTAAATCTTAGACGAATAAGAATTTCCATTTTTCAAATACTTAATTAAAATAATAATACAAAATTATCATTTTATATGTTAGTTTCTTGGTACAGGGATACGGTTAGAGGGAATCGAGTGAGCCCGCTTCGGCATTAATCTTTGTTTAGAGTTAATGGGCCTTATTAATCACGGACATTATGTCTAGATGAATATAATGTGGTAATCGGTGAGTCAGAGACGAAAGATATTGAGGCTTTTATTACGAAAACAAATGCACCGTTACACAACCTGTTCGGTCTACAATATCATTAGATCGATCTATTTGTACCAGCTAAATGTAACCTTATTGCTTCGTAATAAGGTTTCCATAAATCGTGCTAACCGAGAAAAGATTATAGAGACAGGTGACTGCTCATTATTATGATACTTTTTAATCCGATACCCGAATACTAAGTAATTACATTTTTTACACTGCGCTCATTTATTTTATATCCTATTAAAATATATATTAGGCATAATTTAATTATAATTAAACATTATAGATAATTTTATGTCTGAATTATTGTGTGTTGTTAATTTCCTGTTTTTAATTGTGTTATCTGTCGATTGTCGAAATTAATGATATTAATTTTATTTACATTATTAGGTACATATAAAAAATTACGTTCAAATTAATTAATGTTCATATTATTTTAATGATTTTAAGTTTTATACATACTAATGAACTAAATTGACATTTTAATAGAGTAGATAGATTAAAATTATTGAGATTGTAGGTATAACATTCGAGTTATTAAGAATGGCAACATATTAAATCTAAGTTCTGTGATAGGTATGTGCTGTTCATATTTATAAAAGACGGTTACCATTTGTATTTTCTATCAGATAAGTTAATAGCTTGTTTACTACTACTTAGAACGAGAACAAAAACATGAAAATCACATAATAACAGTCTGTCATAGTACCCTTTATAGGTTTCACCGCCAGCATATATCAATGATGCAAGCGGAGCTACCATTCCATTATCATTCTTACTTAGTTACTATTCTTGAAGACTAAGGTGTTTTATGTTTTTATGAGATGATAATGGAATTGTGCACCCACCTTCGCTATAAGTATACGCTGGCGGGGCACCAGTGATTGGCGATGGCTGAAGACAAAGTCAGGTCAGTCGACACATTTTTTTTTTACAACATAGAGGGCAAACAAGCATGCGTCTCACCTGATGGTAAGTGACTACCGCCGCCCATGATCACCCACAACACCAGCGGCATTGCAGGTGTGCTGTCGGCCTTTTAAAAAGGAATATACTCTTTTCTTGAAGGTTATGACGTATCACCAAGAATTAACCACAATGGTTTCTAGGGGAAACCGCATAGAAGTCGATATTGCTAGCAATGGAACGCTCTCTCTCAATTACTAACAATCCCTTCCTCCTAGACTAAGGTGTTATGCTTTCATACCTAGCATTTTAACTGAATTAACTTACCTGATATAGCGAACTGTAAGCTTATGTCAATCTGATAACAATTCACATATTTCTTACTTCCATTTTAAATTAAACTAAGTACTTTTAATAACAATTTTTACAAGTCCCGTTGTATATCCCCTAAATCTTCCATGCAAAATGCATTAATTGTATAATATGAAAATTTCCCAATGAACAAAATCAGTAGTTATTTTAAACTAGTTATGTTAATAAAATATATTATGAGTAACTAGGGCATTAGAAATGACAACGTAACATAATTGCTATGTAATGAAGACTAATGAATAAGTAAGTATATACATGTTCTTGTTATAACTAGGCCAGTATATCATGCTTACATGTGATTGCTTTTTTGTGAATATATGCAATTATTTTATAAGAGACTGGATTAAGCAATTTAAACATAGTATTATTTGGGTTACACTTCGAAATAAGTTTGTTACGTCTATCTGTATCTTTAGAGTATATTAGGTACGTATTAAGTCGGCGGGGACAATTGAATATAAATCGGGGGGTGGGGGGGGGGGATTGTTAGTAATGCGGAGTATCAGTCCCATTGCTAGCAATATACCCCGTCAGGTCGACTTCCACGTGGTATTTATCACGATAGGCTAACTGACCTGCTCTTTCATTTTTACTTATCATCCTTCATTGATGCCCCGCCGGTGTATACCAATAGCGCAGGTCGGGTTACCATTACTTTATCGTCCATTAAAAAAAATTACTTTAACGATACCTAAAATAAAATATTCATTACAACTTAAATTATTAAGTGTTACACTACTCCTACCTGACTTAAAAAAATACTACCGTGCTACTTACTATCTCAACATTCCAGGTAGTAAAGTAATGTCTGCGACTCAAATAAGACGACAGTTTTAAATCATTTTAGGGTCGGTGGCTGAAAATCAACGTCAATATGACGAATAATTGCTACCTGGAATCATAGTTAAAAGCAATTTCAGTAAAATGTATAGGTACACAAGTAAGTACTTTTAGTTA